GATATTAACGTGCACAGAGAACCCCATATATACTTGCATGCCGCCGTGGTGGTCTGCCCAGCTAAGCATACCAAGATCGGTATTTTGTCACAGTTGCATTTCTCGTATTTAATTTGTACACCACACGGTAGACTGTCAGATTATATTTGGCTCGGAAAACGAGATGTTAATAGAATGAGTTTCCTAAAACAATATTCTAGAATCCGACACGTATTTATATTGTGGCGTCACTATTTACTCATGTGCCAAAGCTAGCGCTGCAAAGGAAACAGGCATTGCTTCTTTCTTATTTTTTCCATCCTTACAATAAAAAAAAATACACATAAAAAACCTCGGCTGTTCGATTCGGCCAAGCAGCCAGGCGTTTTTCTACTCTCAAGGTTTATTTTTTTTTTTTTTATCTCTGCACATTTATACGTCAACCTAGAAAACACAAAGGGCTATAAGCGGTCGCGTGAGTTTCGAGCCTAAGGCGCACTTACTCGACAGAAAAATACATTTCTTTTTCCAAATTTTTAGCGAAGAAAATGTACGTATTGTGCACTGAGCGGAAGACCTTGCCATTTAGCCAGATATATTTTCTTATTTCCTTACTTTCGTTGCAATATATATATATATATATATATATATATATATATATAGTTTCCTTTTTTTAAACGTCGTGTTAATTTCAATGGTTATTAGAGGCGTGCGAATATTCGAGTTTCAAATTCAAATCAAATAGCGATTGACCAAAAAATTCGATTCCGCTTTCGAATTTCCATTAATTCGAAGTTTCGGATAATTCGTTATATTGAATATCAGTCCTGCTGGACAAAATCCGGGTCAATTCAAGAACGTTGTCCACGTGATAACATAGCCCTCCCACACCTCTGCTGGATCTAAATTAAGCCTGCATTAAGAAAACCTCGGTTGACTAACTATTTCGGTAGAAGATAGTTCGCTTCTTGTAGTTTTCGAACGAAGCAGTCACTCTTGACTAAAACCCAGAAACTTCAAGGATCCACCAAGCAACATTGGTGATCGCCATTTTTGGCGATCGTCAATGGCTAGGTGGCGCAAGCTACCGCCTTTTTATGATCCGTCCATCCAACATCCTGGGTTACGAAGCGTTTGATCGGATCCGAGTTCACGTCGAAAACTGACGTAGCACCTCGTGTCTGACTCCGCCCAAACAATGACATAAGCAGATAACTGGCGCGGTAAATGGATTACGAAGTAACTGTAGACCTCTAGAGATTTGTAAACTGAAGTGTCTGTTGGGTATATCGGCTCGCTGTAAACGGCAGATATAAGGTGACGATCATTATTATCACCGGTGGGGACCGCCGATTTGTCCTGCTTACTATGATCCGATTCTGTTTGCGATTCTGTTTACCAAGCGAGCAGAATGTCATCGTGGGAATCAGGTTTTAGCGTCCTTTCAGCGCCGTCCACGCCGGGATGGATCGCCTTTCGTGACATTATTTACGCAAAGTTTTGCAGCGCAACAAGACAATTGCCCTTTTATAAAGCAATCAAACTAAGCTTGAAAAATGTAGGATAAGCAATTCCAACACAAAAAGGAAAGTGCACGGGGTGCTTACGCGGACGCCGACATCGCAACCCAGTGGTCTGCTGAAGGGGGACGGGTTTGTTTGCATGAGTGGCAAGTTCAAGGTCGGTGACTGGCCACTATCAGAGCTACGTTTTTTTTTCTTCTTTTCTTTTTTTTTCTGCCTTGTTTGCAAACAATGAAATCTTACGCCAACCGACGTTGGGCGTGTCTACTGCACTCGTACATATTGCGGAAGTCCAGCAACTGTTACTTGTGCTAAAGACGTAAACAAAAAAAACAAAAAAGCAAAAAAAAACCTTGACCGAAAATTGACTACGTCTTGAACAGCTGAATGCCCTCCGTTACGTACGGCTGTACGGAGATGCTTGCAGTAGATGGGACGATGATGTCCACTGTTGCTTCGGACGCAAAGAAGCTGCGAGCTCCTTGATAGGCTTTATATATATATATATATATATATATATATATATATATATATATATATATATATATATATATATATATATATAGCCTATGACACTGTTGGTTCCGGCCCAACTGTCCCAGATTCCAGTTGTGCCAACACGTTCTAGATGATACAGACGTAATTCTGAATTGTTAGCGATTTTGCAATGTTAACGTCGTCTTGGCGTCCAATCACCGCAGTGCAAAATGCGTATAAAATAATTTCCCTTTGTGTAAATGTACACGAAACGAATTCGACATCATCGACGATCGCATTATACCTATAAAGAGGAAACCCCCAAGTTCCAATATCCGGCCTAGGTACGGACCTGCAGACACAAAGCAGACGACGAGAACAGGCACTTTCCTTACGTAAGACGACGTAACCTGACAACCCCCAAACCGTTTCGTCTCTACTTGCTCCGCATTTATTTTTTCTTATTTATTATTCTGCACTTTTTCGGCGACAACAACTCAAGTCAAGATAGAAGAGCCGGCACGCAGCAATACACAAACATACACAAAAAAATATCGATTGAAACAACATTGCATACCCAAGTACAACTTAAAGAGAAGAAAAAAATGGGAATAAAAATATTTTAAGTGGGGAAAGAGAAATTGAATAACAAAACGCAAAAGCCTCCCAGTCAAGTACTGCATAAAATGTACCAAACGCAATTTACAGGAAAAAAAAGGAAAGCTGTCGAGAGGGGGAAGAAAGATTTAGGGAACGCAGAGCCAGATATTGTCAATTTCCGGGGAGCACTGCACGCAAGATTGAGGATACGCCGTTCTAATAATACAGGTCCCGCAGCAAAATCCGCTTTATGCAAATCCCGCCGCAAGGGAGAAAAAACCGTTGCGCGGACGGAGCACCATCAAACAAACGGAGCTGAGATTCTCTCACGCTACGCGAAAGTCTCGCCAGAGAAAGCGAGAAGAGAGAGAGAGAGAAGGTAGAGTAATACCAAAAAGGAGAGGAGGATGCCATAAAAGGAAGAAAGGGAAATGGACCTGTCGCTATACCTGCAGCGTCCCTGGCTGGCTGGAATATAAAACGCAGACCCCGCGTGCATAAATTTAAATCCCCGCTATATCCCGGCGGCGGCGGGAGCGAGCACCCCTAGCAAAGAAAGCTCGGGTGCTGCCAAGAACAATAATGCTAAGGCTCTTAGCCTGCTCTCCTTTTTCTCCCCAGCTTCCTTATCCCCCCTCCCCATCCCTAGCTTCTCTATTTCCTCCTTTCTTTTATATTTTATACTACGCTGCGTTCATCCCCAAGACCGAAAGTGGAGTGGGAGCTGGAGCGCTCGCCCGGCCAATAAGCTGACTCCCTTTCGTCGCCCAATCCCGGTACCTCCGCGTCGGTACGGGGCCAGAGTGGGATCACGTGATGACATACAGACGTTTGATTGGTCCATCGGGCGCCTAACTTCCACCACACTGCCAGCCTTGGGGTGAACGGCAGAACGCGATCCCAACTTTCATTCCGGGGTTTAGCGAGAAAGACCGCGGGGAGAAGGGAAGTTAACAATCAAAAGGTGGTGAGGGTAAAGGAACCGCAAAAATAGAAATAAAAAAAAGAAGAGAGTCGTGAACGAAATTGGGTTTTGGTGGCTTAGGTTTGAGAGAGAGAGAGAGGGAGGGCAAGAAACATTCCGTACCCTAGACCGGGAATTGCCGGATGTTCGCTCGTAAAGTTTCGGTCTTCATTTTAGCCCGTAAAGAAAACAGAAAACGCGATAAAAAATAAAATACATATGCATCTTTAGGTTCGGTTAGATCGCGGGAGACGTCGAAACTTTAGATTGTCTGAGACGCCGACATCTCGAAGTCGGAGGTACCGCGACCAGCAGGAGTGGCGCTCGAGAATCAGTTACCGCGCATCTCACTTTGCGTTTGTTCGAACGGCTACTTAGTTAAAGTGGGTCGTGCAAACGCTCACCTCGCAAAAAATCGAGTTTCTTGCAAATTCTCGTACACCCATACAAATTGGAGATCACTTTGCCTTTTTTCGTGGACGAGTTGTGAGTGCGCGTCGGGTCTGGTCCGCATTTTAGCCAGCTGATCTATTCTGTTTTTAAATCCCCCGCGAAAAAAAAAAATAATAGTCGTTATCCCGAGTCATTGGACTTTGGTGGCGTGCGAGGCGTCCACAGATTCCGCAGAAGAGGCCTATTGCGCATGCTCAGAGTGCTTTTCGCAGTCCAGCAGACAAAGAGATGACAGCGTGCGCACTAACACAAAGTTTAGTAAGTGGTTGGGTTTTATCCATTTACCCAACGGTTCATTCGGGATCCTGCGTAATTGTTTTGACCTATTGCGCATTTGGTAACCGTTCCCCTATCCCCCCTCCCCCCCCCCCCCCCCCTTTTCTGTTTTCTGGAACTGTTGCGTTATTTTATTGCGTTCGTGCCAGTCTTGTACAAGTTACTCGAAAGAAAGAAATCGAATACAATGACAACTAGTATCGGTTAAAAAGTATTCAATTAGGTTACTTAAACAAAACTAATTCTCCGTTTCTTGTTTTTTTTTTTTTTTTTGCAAGGCAGTTGTTAGCTTTTTGATTACTTCAGACTTAAAGAAATCGACACGTTTTTCTACTGGTTTGAAGCTGGTTATTCGTGTCGTCCATTATTCGGCTAGAATCACCGAATTACAAGCTACTTATCTTCTTAATTCACCAATTTCGGTGGAACGTCCTCCCATCGGAAACTCGGTTCAAGTATACCTTGGTAGAAGCAAAGAGTGCCATTAAAAGAGGGAAGGGGAAAATAGCAACGGATAAGAGTGCTAAAAGTAATCAAGAGACTCTCGCAATTACTTTTTTTATTAAACGTATACAAATGATTCCAAAATTACTTTACAGACTAATCGATAACGAGTCATTTGATTCCTTGTTGTAATGAGTAACTTAACAAAGTCCGGTTGATGCACTGAGTGTGTACGCGTAGGTGTTCGTTTCAATTTTTCATCCTGGTCTTTCTTTCCCGCGCAGGATAACCTCCGACCGGGACCCAACAACTCCGCCTGGCCTTACTCCAGGCACCGGGAAGCGTCCTGGCAAGGCCGCTATCGGGTAAGTGGATCCCGTACCGAGATCGAAACATGCGTCCTCGACACTCGCACAACGCACCCCCTCCTCGCAAAACCAAACGCATTCACGGAATTTCCCCCGAAATTCGTAAACTATACTTACTGACAACTAAGCCACGCTTTGCTTTTTTGCTCGAATCGCCATTGACTGTAATCGTGCGAAAGCATAGGGAATATCCGGTGTTGTCGCGTTTCGAAGCGTCTAAAGTGCTTTCGAGATTGTTCTTCTTCAAAGCCCTTCGCGTTCCGTCGAATACATCAAGTGCAATTGATTTAGCACTAGCAGCATCGAAAGCTGTTTAATAAGTTACCCAACTCATTATAGCACCCTAAAGTTACCAAAGAGAGACGTAGTTTTCGCACAGGCGAGACAGCAAAGCAGCTGCGATGCAGGAGGAATGCATTATGTTCATGGTTAACTTACGACCAAGCGGTTATGAAACTAACTTTGTTCTAGAAGAAGCAAAAAAAGAATAGTAAATTAGGCTTCGAAGCGAGAGTGCATTGCATAAACGAGTGGTTATGAAATTATCCGAAGTACGTTCACAGTGACGCAACGAGTTTCGAAACTGAGATTTTATTTTATCTTGGTCTTCAAACTCGCACGATGTGATTATGGGCACAAAGGTCATATCGGCTTTAAACTACGAGTGCGAGGACAATTGAGTGAAGAAATCTCGGAACTCTTTTTGTCGTCCTCAAGCCCCCTCGAGCAACTCCTATAACAAGGCCACAGTGCTCGACGTTTTACGTCATCTAAAGAAGGCCAACACGAGTCCAGTTCGAACGCTGACCCAGCGCTCGCGTCCGTGAGGGGTTAAAAGTAAGCACTAGGCCTTGTTATCCACGAGATGTTGTTCCGCTTTCCCCTTTCAACAGACACTCTGGAATATACAAAAAAAACTAATAAAATAAAACATGTAACACTGCGCAGTGCACGACACTATTAGCATGAACATGACTTGGGGTCTTTTCCGCATTGTACTTAAGAAAATTACCGGAGGGCATCAACATTTAGCACTTAGGTTAGTACTCCAACTGAGCACTTTCCACCACAATAGTAGTTGTGATGGCTAGTCCTTCAATAATGAGGGGTAAAAAAACCGGCGATGGCTTGCTCGCGCGCTAACAGCGTCGCGGTGTGAACAGGAGCAACGAGACAAGAGAAGCCACCGCACTGCCGACAAAGAATCATCATCAAATATCATCCCAAGTATAGACGCTCGAAAAAAAACATTTAAAGAAAAACCGATACACGAAATAAGGAAAAAAAAAAAGAAGAGAAAGAAACATTGAACGAGGGAAATCAACACTTCTTGGAATGGCGACGATGGAATAACCTCTGCAAGAGGTCAAATCTTACTTTCGTAACAGCAGATCGCTTAAATACAAATCAATAAACAAAAAAAAAAGGAATATTGTAAAAAAAGAACCGCAACGAAGTCTACTTGGCACAGTGCACATAACACCAGCTGCTAGGCACCGTTCGCTTTTAAATCCCCCTTCTCCCGTCTGTTGCCTCCGATTCGATAGAAGCTTCAACCCATCGCCCAGACCAAAGAAAAGAGGGGGGGAAAAAACACAAAAAAACTCCCGGTTCAATTGAAAGGAAGACCCATCCAACCCCCTCCAACTTCTTCAGACCCATCTTGTACCATTCCTACACATAAAAAAAAAAAAATCACAGCGATAAAAAAATAAAATACCAAGGTCCTTACTCCGATCCAGTTTGTTTACTCCGCCCTCCGGCTCCCTTGCGTCTCTTTCTCCCGTTTTCCCTTTTTTTTCCGAACTCTCCCTTCTCGAAGTTCAACCCCAAGCTCACACAGCAGTGGAAGCTACGTGCACGTTGGACAGGTAATCCGTGTACCTTTCACCACGTGACCACGCTTCCATACCGCCGCGTAGAAATTTGTTAAGTACAGATAAGGGCCTGGGGCCACGCTGCTAATACATCATTAAAAAGACAGTCTGCAGACACTAGGGAGTTTTAGGGAACCGTTTTCGCGCATGTGATACGGTGCGATGGTACCTCCGGTACAAACTGCGCATGCGCGAGTCTTCTGTGGCAGCGCATGCGCAGTTCGCACCGGAAGGCTCATCGTACCGTATCGGATGCGCCAAAAACGGTTCCCTAAAACTCTCTAGTGTGCAGGCGAGATGGCGGAAGTTCACCGTTGCAATATTAGTCTTAGTAGATTGTTCCGATAATCTCCAATATCCCCCGATAACGATACGACGCATGCGCAAAGGCGGTGGCGAAGTATCAGGAATCGTTATCGGAGTCATCGGAACGGTTTAAAACGCTATTAACCCGAGACTGGGGCGGAAGAAGGAAAAACATTTTACGGTAGTAGGCGAAAAAAAAAAAAAAAAAGCCACAACATGGCGAAGACAACGTCTTGAACCCAGCCCTCGGTCTCAGTATCGGCTTCATGTTCAAAGAGAGGCTGCTGATTGGTCCGGCGGGTGCGTAGCTTCCACCGCACTATCAGCTTAGGGTTAAAGGAGCCTTTTCGTCGCGCATAATATCGCGACGCTGAAACCCCGCCGCGCACCGCCCGCAGTGATCCGTCGCCGCTGGAGAAAGAACCATTTGCCCAAACCGTCGACGATAACGCACCATCTCCAGTGCCCTACGTCCGCCAAGAAAAAAAAACTAAAGTCTTCCCTAGAATTTTGTTTGCGCCACGTTTCCTACAACTAAACCCAGATAAATGCATTAAAAAAAAAAAAAACACTGTCGAAGCGGCGGCAAAGGATCGCCATACGGCAGAGGTCAAAGACGTGCCAACGTCCCTTAGGCACCGCCCGCTGACCCTAAGACTACAATGCCGCGCCTGGATCCCCCTTAAATCGCTCCCCGAAGAAAGCTCGATTTTTTATATAATGGGTGCGGGTGGATCGGGGGAGTAGGGGAGGGGGCGGAGCATGTGGCAGGTAACGTGCGCCGAGCACGTGCACTTGACACGGCCCACTTCTCCTTTTTTACCTTAATCTCTGCAGCGTCTTTTCCCTCCCTCTCTCTCGAGGTCACAGTCCCGAGGTGACCCAGGGGTCAAGACCCGTGTTCACCCTCCCCTTAGACGATATTGACGGCACCGTACCACCTTAGCGTGTCTTGCGTTGGTCCTATCTGAAGCGTAAGCTCACAAAGGGCAAGAAATAAGCTAACGCTGCTCCTGACACGAAAAGAAAAAAAGTCGGGCTCTTGGCGCGACCTGTTGCTTGTTCAATAGCATGTTCTCGGGAGAGGTTGCTTTTCTAAATTGTAAATGGAAGTTGGAACGCCCGCTATGCACCGAGTAAGTACGGGAGGGTAAGAGACGATAGCGTGCCGGGACGTCAGAACGCGGACCTCTGATTGGGAAGGATAGCGGGTAGACCTAAAGCTAGCTGCCCGCGTCTCCACCGCATACGTCGAACGCGTTCGAATGCGAAAGCCAAAGACCGGAGTTCTGCGTTCTGGCGCCTTCGACGAGTGCAGCTTTATGCCTACCCGCTAATCTCTCCAATCGGCGCTCGGCGCGTCACAGCGCGCTCTTGTCGCCTAATCTCTCTCTCTCACTTTCTCGGCGCATATTGCGCACTGACGCCGCGTTCACACATGACGACTGAACCGCGTACGCAAAGCGGTTGCGAACCCGGTCGCTTAAAGACGCAATACAAACTTCACGTGTATTCGATTATGAAAACGAGCGGGCCCGCTTCGCGGTGACGATTCGGACGCTGAAGCGTGTATGTAGCCTTAGGCTGCATTCACACTCACTGGCGTGTGAATCGCCACCGCGAAGCGGGTCCTCCCGCTTTTTCGTTGCGCAACGCTTTGCGGGTACGGTTGAAGCGGCTAATGTGAACGTAAGTGTGAGCGCAACCGACGCTACGGTTCGTCCGAGCCAATCGAGCGGCGACAAAAGTGCACCGTCACGACGGGGCTCTTCACCTTTGCGCGTCCGCCGTCACCGGCTAAACAAATCGCGCACTGCGAACGAGCCGTGATCCTGCGGTTTATTTCGTGCGTGATCATCAGTCGAATTCGCCGTCTTGCGATAGTTTTCGGTAGAATCATTTTTTTTAGAGCGCAGCTCTTAGGGGGCGCCTGTTTCCGGGTTTCGCGGCGTCGGTGTAACCGCGCTAAATTTAGCGGGAAGGTTGACGTCATGTGACCTCAACACCAATTCAGTTTCCCCACTAACTTTAGCGGGGAAAATGACGTCACATGACTTGATGTCACGTCGCCTATACACGAATTCAGTTTCCCTGGTAAATTTAGCGGGAAAATTGTCGTCGCGCGACCTCCACCAATTCAGTTTCCTCGCTAAATTTAGCGGGGAAAATGACGATACGTGACTGGGGTCACGTCACCTATGAACAAATTCAGTTTGTCCGCTAGATTTAGCGGGAGAATCGACGTCACGTGCGGAAGAGGAGGAGGGGAAGGTACGGAGGAGGAGGAGGAGAGGGGGCATACCTTTTCCTCCGTACCTTCCCCTCCTCCTCCTCAAGAGCTGCGCTCTAATTTTACGTTACAGAGAGTTGTAAACCTCTTTAATTTTTTTGGAAGGTTCGATCCGACCAGCAAGCTTCAGGAGCGATCTTCAAAAAGCACGCTTCAAATTAACAGTGAAAGAACTCCCAATACCACTAGCCGCTCCGCGAAAACAGAATCCCTTAAGATTCTCCAGTTTGGTAGCTTCGTAACTTACAATAGACAGCCACATCAATTTAGTCGAACATGTAATATCAGAAACATCGGCTCACCTCAACGTTCTACAAAAATAAATAATAAAAAAATAACCACCAGTTTTCCTTTCGATACAACAAATATCGTTTTAATATTTTTTTTTATTTACTATTCTGGAGAATACCTGATATAAGCGGCACTAAGCGAGATCATGACTTCGGATTTGTGATCTCTACTCTGCATAGGAAACAGTCTAAGCTTAAATAACAAAACTGAAAAAGCATAAAGTCGCAGGAACA